ATTCGATGTGCATTTTAAATGTTTTATATAATTATTTTAGATAATTTGGATGTTCTGTCACTTTTGTTTAAATTGTTTACAAAAACTCTGATTACACATGGTTCGGAACCTGAGGATACTTTATTAGGTTAATTCTTTTTATTTGAACTAATTATATTAATGATACTTTAATAGTAAATTCATTAAACCAGTGCTAAAATTAACTAAGTGTTATGTTACAAAGTGCAGAATATATTGTTTCATCCAATTAATTTTTGGATCCCATGTAAATTTTGTAATGGAATGTCAAAAAATCCATCAGAAATTTATTAAATATATATGCACATCATAAAGTTTTTAATATTAGGTTATTTGGGGTTAATATTTTTAACTGTTTAATCTGTTCAAAATGAAAATGTTGGTGTTTTTGTTTTACTTATGTAAAAACATATTTTTACAGAATTTATATTATCATGTTTCATATTAGCTTAAATAAATGAGGCTAATCTGAAGTTATTTGTAACTGATTTTTGGCACCCAAAAAATTGAGAAGCCAGTCTTAAATATATGCTTGATTCTTTGTTTCGGTTGCTAAATATACTTTTTCTTTTATTTTATCTTAACCTTCTGAAGGTTTTATTAATAATAAAAAAAGTAGACGTTAGGAAAACACCCACTAATCTATGAAGTGATATTTATTCTGTAAAAAAAATTAATTATTTACTACATTTAAAATTTTTTTTTATAATATTTTAAAAGTTAAATTATAACAGTATTGTAATTATCAAAAACTACAATTTTCGCGATCAAAACAATTGTAATGAAAAATATTTTTAAGTATGATTTTAAAGGCAGGCTGGATTGAATTTGCTTCTTTTTTCCTTACTGCATTATTTAAGGTTTTAAGAATACATTTAATGCAGGGTAATATGAGCAAAAAATCTTAACTTTTAATTTCATTTTGGATTTGTTTTGTATGGGCCAGAAAAAAATCCTTTTTTTTTTATTAAAAACAATGCCGTTTTTATTTTATCTGCTTATGAATAAAAATGTTTATAAAACACGCGATTTAGGTATAGAATAGAGCTGTTGATATAGAATAAAATTCTCATTTTGCAATGTTTATAAATTTTTCTTTTAAAAGATATTTGGAAAGGAAAAATTTCTTTATTAAAATAAATAACATTGTTATTTAAGCAAAAAAAAAGAAGGGAACCTTTAATTTTTAAAAAAAATGTTTACATCTATTTTTTTATTTTTAAATGATTACTTTATTATGTATATCTTTTTATTTTAAGGCTCGAGTATGGCAGAGAGACTACAGAGATTGAAGAGTAATGCAACCTGATGCGGCATGTTATACAGAGGTATTTATTCCTTCAAACTATCGTTTATAACTTTTTTTCTATTTTTTGTTGCTGAATTATTTCTACTTCTCAGATGACACCACCACTGAGTATGCCTGACAACCCCATAAATGCAGTTACGACAAAATTTGCGCATACATCAACTAACAAATTGAGATGTCCTATATTTTGTGTGGCAGTAAGTTATTTGCAATAAACTTTTGATATTGTAAGCATAGTTTTAAGGAGGAAATATGTAATTTTCTCAGGAATGCTACTCTACATTTCTGTTCTCACAGATTTTAATTTAGAGTATGAAATTTCAGAAATCAAAATTGAGTACAAAATATCAGGTTACAGAAAAGTCTGTGTGTTTTCTACTTTTTAAATTACATATTGTCTAAAAACATTTTCTCACTATGTGAAATTAAAGTTTATATTTCTGATTTATTTGATTTTTTTTAGCTTTATTTGATTTTTGTGACAAGTTTCTTCAGTTAATTCTTTTTAAAAAGTTTCTTTATTTAAATCTTTTAAAACATTTCTTTATTTGATTCTTTTAAAAAGTTTCTTTTTGTGATTTTCGTATAACTTTCTTCTGTATTTATTACAGAGATCACTCAGTGTACGTAGTTTTAATGTATGTTCGAGGAGGGTTATCTCCTTCTAACATGTATTCTAAACGTTTAAATTATAAAAAATTAATAATGAAAACTTTTTCATATTTACCCCCTACTTACCGTTCAATTTTTCATTAATCAAGTAATGTATATATAACTTTGCCGGGGGTTTTGTCCCCCAAAACTATGCCACTGATATCACTCAAAGAAAATTTAGTCAGACTAAATTTATTTTGAATGATAATTTATATGTAAATTTAGTTGTTATTCATCTTTCGTTATGCATATTTTGAACTAATGATTTCATACATTCATCAGTCTTAATACACTCATCATGATAATACATTTATCAGTCTTAACTAATTTTTCTGACTAAATGTTTGAATGAGACAAGCAAATTGCAAATATTTTGTCATTTTCATGGAAACTTGCATGATGATTATAGTAATTGATTAGAAATGAATGTAACTAATAACAGATTATAATTAAATGTTTATCAACTATTTGTAATCAAGTAATAAAATATTATCACAATTTCTCATTACAAGCAGTAATCATTGCTTATAATCATAACAAAAAGTGGTTACAGATAATCACAATTACAAGTAATCAAAATCTATAATTGTAAGTAATCAGCACTTCATGTTATCATAATTTGAGTTTAGGAAAAATCATAACTCTCAGTAATTATAAACTTATTATAACCAATTATCTTTAATACAAGTAATTATAAAATACAATAATTTCAGTATTGCAATCTAATTTCACGTAAGTTTAATTACATTTTAATCAGGATTGTTGGTAATTGGTTACTTTTCTACACAATGCATATATTGCATATTAAAATGAATGCTATTGTTAGGTATATTAAATGGATACTTTTAAGGATATATGTGCAAACATAGTTATGTAAATACATTGTGCACACTAATACCTATGCATATTATTGTATGTACATAAATGGGCAATTCTATGGTGACTGGTGTTACATTTTGATATGTTTTCTTATTTTTTAAAATTTTTCATTGATAAATTACATAGGAAGGACATTGAGTAATATGTCTTATTTTTTATTTTGAAATGCTCTTCCTTCCATATGCATTAATGGGATGGTTTTTTGAGATTTAATCTAGAGCTTAATCTAGCTTTGAACTAACAGGAAGCATTTTAAGAAAAATAATGAAATGACCTATAGAAAATGGCAAATTAAAAAAAAAGCCCTTGTGACTGATGTTACAAATACAAAATATATAAAAATTTATCAAAAGTTTTTTTTAATCAATATTATAAAATATTTAAAAACTGCAATTTTTGATTTTATATCTCAAACAGTTGATAAAAAAAAATTTGTTAATGGAGGGAGGCTATTCTAAGTATACAATATGTAAATACATAGAGATACCTTGCACGGCATAGGTAAATGTACATTGTGTGTGTAGGTATATTGTGACATCACTTACTTTATAATTAATTACGCGCTTGTAATAAGGAATATCCTAAATTTTAGTGGACACCTGAAGGTAGAAGATTGGTGCATCTAGCGGTGAATTTACTTTATGAAATGGATTAACTTTTAATTTTGAAGCTATTTTACAGGTAAAATAATAGTTGTTCTCTAATTTTTTGTGATATATCTCTCTTATCCATTTCTTACGAATTAAAATTTAGTTTATCATAAAATTTATATTCACGTATGTTGCTTTTTATTCCTACTTGCAATCAATGTTCATTATTGATATTTCACTTTTTTATTAATATTTTCAACTCCCGCTTTCTCTCTGTCAGAAATTGTCACACTTCACTACCATTCTTTGTCACAAATTGTCACACTGCACTACCATTCTTTGTCATACTGCTACACAATCACCTCGTATATTACTTAAAGATAAACTGTTAAGTCAAGGGAACCCAAGTTAAAGCTCTCTGTTAAAGAAGCATTTTATAAGATATTTAATAATTTTTATCTAAATGCAGGACTAAAAAGCAAATTTTTTTCATGGACTACTTGCATACCTTTTTTTTTCTTATAAAATTTATAATTTTTTAAATTAAAAATTGAATAAAAAAAAAATAAAATTATAAATTAAAAACAATTTAAGACAATTTTACAATGCTCCATAGTTTTTTTAATTTTTTTTAATAATTTTTACAGTATCTTTATGAGCTGTATTTGTATAAACCAGTGATACAAAACTTTTAAGGGGAAATTGTTTGTGCATTGCTCAGGGAAACACGCAATTTATAAGTGCGTAAAAGAGAAGATAAACTGTATATTATTTTTAAACTTTTAATTCCTACTTCACAATTAGTTTATATTGAGATCATTTGTCATATTAATTCATTTTTTTATAAATTCTAAAATACATAAATTTTTTGCAGTGCCTTTGATGACCACTTATATTAATTGAGGTTCTCATTAATTGAAGAATTGAAACAATTCCAAACATTTAATCATTCAGTACTTAGGAACAGTTAATTTAGGTAACTTTATGCGTTCCTGTTCAACGGTTTGAATGTCACTCTGATTGCGACTATTTAGAGAAATATTAGCTTCCTGAAAGGAATTATTTGAATCAAGTTCTTTGTTTAAATTCTTAATGATGTTCTAAATTTTGTTCTAGTTATTTTTTTCTTTGTACTCTTCTATACATTTAAATTCTCTTCAGTGTCATCGATTTTGATTAAGCCCTCAATCTGAATAATTCTTGAAGATCTTCCACACTTATGACCGGTTTTAGAATGTCACTTTCGATTTTTGCAATTATCTTTGTCACCGAAGCTCTAGCGATGATTTGTCTACTACTGAGAATATTTTACATCTGCACTGTGGGCAGTGCGAGCCTGGTGTGTAATTCGTAATCATCAGCTACCCCTGGGATTCGAACTCGATCCACCTCATGAAGATTCGAGCATTCTATCTCCTGAGCCTCCGTGGCTGTTTAAAATAATTTTATTTTTTTAAAAATTATACCTTTTATTTATTTTTCTTTATAACTTTTAATGGTCTTATATCAGGTGGGCATGATTCAGATAATCTAATATCCATATTCATTGATGAATGATTTTGTGAGAGAAAATAATAAATGTTTCTAATGTGTTAATATGTCAACTATACTGAAGATTTGTTTTCATTTCTGAATTGTTTCGAACTAATTTTATTTCAGTTGATAACTTCTCACTGCTTAAACTTATAATTTAAATTTAAGCAGTACTGTGCTTTTCTTCGAAATTAAACCGTAATATATTATTCAATTTTTAAAGTGTTTCAAATAATTTAACAGTCCAGACAACTTAAATTTGTGTAATTAAGATTACTGCTATAGTTGATATTATTATGGAACTCAATATTATAAATTTAATACAATATACTGTTTAATGTTTTAATAAAATTGATATTATTATACCATTTTATATTACCCCCGTTATAAATCAATGTTCTTAAATTTCTCCTGTTGTCCAAATATAGTTGATTCTTGTTGTTGTCGGCCATTGAGACAGAGCTGGTGCAATTGTTCTTGTTTTCCATCTTTAGCCAATAATTCTGCCACATCCGCTTATAGGGCGAACCCATTCATTTGTTTACAGAATTTTGACCTGAACCACAGAATCTCTAATTCAGTACCCCAGAGGTATTGATTTGTTATGGAGAACTTTGTAACCTGACAGGTTTAACATGCACCAGTCACCATTTACTACTCTGGCTGGTTGGACTCACAAATGTGAGGTCCCTGCCATCCAGGCTATACCAGCCTAGTTGATTTTTAAACTCGATTTATAAAAATTGGTTTGTGTAAACAATAGTAAACTAAATTCAGTTTCCTTAAAAATTTAAATGTTTTATTCTGAAAACCTTAGTTATTTATAGAGTTATAAAAATTTGTACTTTATATTTGCAATTTACACCACAGTCATAAAATATTTCATTTCCATATAGTTAAGGTAAAACAGTAGATTAAACATGTGGGAGCCGTTTTTTGTAATTATAGTATCAAAGTTATTTTCATTGTTTATTTTCTTGTTTCTAATTATTGTATGTCACCAGATGAACACAGCAGGGAAAGAATGTGTCTGTTTCTATTAGGGATTTTGAAAATGTGGTTTTATATTGAAGAGTCTTATAACAAAATGTAACATTAATTTTCCTTTTCTAATGTTTTTAGGGAGGTTTAATCTCAGATGCCGAGTCACTTAATAATTTACGAGAGCTTCTCGTCATAATAAGAATATTACTTTTTGAATGAAAGCTGTCATCTACCTGTGTTTACAAAAATGTCAGGTAGTGTTTATTTATTTCTTAGTTCTTACTTTTTTACATACCGTGTTAGATATTAAAGTGTCAAAAAATGTATCGAATATAAATGTTTATTTTTGATTAGAAGCAGATCTGGGACTCTGTTTTAAATTTCTTGAGCAATACCTTATTTGCAATTGTGTCTAAAAAGTGAAAATTAATCATAACAAGTTTTATAAATATTCATGTTTTATTTCTACTTAAATCTAGTTATTACAAAAAGATAAATATCAAGCATGTTTACCTTAGTTTCCAACTCTGTGCATGTAGTGAGCTGGGCTCGGTGAGATTATTGCACTCGCATGTGCAACTCTGCTGCATTTTGCAAGATATTCTCCATTTCAGTCTTCTTTTTTACCCTCTGAAATCAAGCTGAAAAATCTATTGATCATTTTATAATGGCTCATATAATCAAGAAAAGAGTTCTTTGTCAGAAACTAGTTATTTTATCATGATCATGTAAAGTCTTTGAAAATTATTTGCATTTTGTTAATGTATATAGTGCTTAAGAAAAATTTTTGATTTCTTAAAAAGCATTTAAAAGGTGTTTGCTTTTTGTTGAAATATTTGATGAAACTTATGTCTTGTGAGTAGCATAATTTGTTTGTATGGCATCTTTAAAATCAACTTTTTTTAGTTTCCACTGAAGGAAGCAATATGAGTTATAAAATGTGCCCCATCGTCGTAACATTTTTTTTATTTAAAAATTCTCTAATTAAAAATGGATTGTTATGTGTTTCAATTTTTATTCAATGAAGCCTTAGTCTGATAATACATTTTTGAAGCGACAGATTTAAAATATTTTACTTGAACAAATAAAAATGTGTTTCTTCTAGCTTGAAATAAAATTGTATTTGCATATGCATATGTTTATAAAATTTCTGTATGCTCCAATTTCCTATTTTTCTGGCTATTTTTGATTTTTTTTTGGGAAGGTATATTTGATGATAAACAATCATACTATTTTTAAAGTCCTTAATTTTTTCAAAGAGAAAGTCCTCAAAAGTGCTTAAATTTTGCTTTGTTTAAAGAGTGGGAACCCTGTATTAATTTTAGTTTTTTAGATAAAGTATTAAAAAAAAAGAATATCTGTAATTTTATCATGATCATGTAAAGTCTTTGAAAATTATTTTCATAACCCTACATAACCCCTGTTGACTTCTACGATAAAAGGAATGATTTTAAATTTAATATAAATAAACTAATTACATGGAATTCTAATGTGTCTAAAAAAATTTTTTTAAATATCATTTTCAATCAAATAGATGGAATTAAAGGAATTTTTAGCNCAAATAAATGGAATTAAAGGGATTTTTAGCATTGTTTATTTATCCAAAAAACAAATGGACAAACTCCTTCAAAAATTTGGTTAAAAACAATTGATATTCTAGTAATGAAATTAAGTTCTATATAAAATCATTGAGTAATTGTGTGTTATAATTATGAATAAGTTTATTTACACAATTTTTTTTTTTGTTATTTAAAATTTACATTTTTACCATTTGCAAATCTGTTGCTATAAATCTTTTAATATTCAATTAAGGATTTTTTAAACTAATGTTATTTTTTTCTTCATTGTTGCTTAAGTACATGATGTCCACGAATGGCTGCAATTGATTACCTTCTCTAGTCATTTATGGGTGGTGCAATCGAATTACAGTTCAGTGCAGTCCACATCAGCCACCATTAAGAGTGCCTGCCAGAAAGAACAGAAACTCAGAATGAAGTATTTAAAGTTATGGATGAGATAAAAAATATTTTTGATAAAAGTTATTATGAACTAATTGATGGGAAATATAGACCTAATTATGTGACTCGGTGATCCAATATTTATATAGTATATATATAACCTTAAAATTGGAATAAGATAATGATGGCTTATATTTACTGGCATATATGCACTGGTTCTTAAAGTAAAAATATTTTTTGAAGAAAATTTTTAATTTTTAAGATATTTAATCTCAAATTTATGTCAGTATAAGTTGTATTAAATTAGAAGTCTGTTATAATTTAATATTGCCTAATATATAGATTATTAGAGTTCTGTTACATTTTCTTGTTACTTCTGTATTCCGATGGTTGTTGGTTTTGCACAATCTGACCTACAGTTTTCTTTTCCTTTTTTTTAGATAAAATATTTTCTAAATTTTGCAGAATTTATTTGCTAGGATTTTCTTTTTCTTAATACTTATTTTTACCAGATCACACACATAAGATTTGCCA